ATTTTCAGCAGAGGAAGAGGATTCTTCATCATTCAGTAGTGTGACAGTCTGTTGGGTATGTAGAGTATTCTGAAAAATAGAAACATCAAGAAATTTACAAATTTGTTTGAAGACAATTACAACAAGAACATGTATAAACCAAAAAGAAACGATATAATGTTAAATGTAATATAACGATATAAGTTATAATGTAATCAATTGATCAATTGTATTTTAGTATGATATGTTTGGACTGGATTGAATTGAAATGAATTGAATTTGCCTTATTTTTACGTGGCGAGACTCAGGCCATCAGGCCCGCTCTTCCGTCTGACCACGCAAATTTCGCTACGCTCCTTTCACCAACTGGATCACTTGAGGAAAGCATTTTTTAACTGTATAGTACTCAAGTTGAAGCAAGACAAATACTATCATGAAAATGTGATTTGTTTCAGATATTCATTCACCATTAGAGGCAAATTGCTACATTGGGAACAGTAACAAACTATATATATCTCTTCTTCATAAGTGAATAATGATAGATGAGTTAACTACGGAGAAGGCTGACAAAAGAAGTATATTTCCTACTTAATTACCAAGAAATGAAAAACATGAACAGAGAATGCAAGAATTACCTTTCCAAGTAATTAAGAGAATGAAGGTGAAGTTATTGTGAAAAAACAGAGAAGTAGAAGTAGAAGTAGGAGTAGGGGTAGGAAGAGTGGGGGGAGAAGCTGGTGGAGGAATAGGAGGAGAAGAAGAAGAAGAAATGATGACAACAAATTGAAAAGTGAAGAAGAAAGATAATGATAATGATAAATGAAGACCCATAAAACAAGAAAGGAAAAAAATATATATCAGAAAGCTGATATTTTCCTTTCAGACCTATATAAATTAAATTATAATTGTATTAAGTTATACAGGTTTTGATCAGACACTAATTAGGAATACTCAATTAAAAAAAAGAAATATTCATATTTGAAAATCATTTTCTAAGTCCTTTTCAAAGTGTAGAAAAAATCTATTTTATTAATTTCATTAAAAATTACTGAAATTTGTTGAATTATATTGTTAGTGTAATTTAGTATGATTTTTATTCTTAATTGGATGTACGTAAAATTTGTCAAAAAAATAAATTCCTCGTGGATTCCTCATCCTGAAATTTCATATATGGGTTACTAAACGGAAAAAAAAATTCTTTGAATCTAAACAGAAGTTATTATTGGTTAGGTAAAATGAGTAATAAGGACTATGTAAAATACTTAATGTTACACTTCCAATTTCTTGATTCCAAAATTCAATAGATATTTCATAAATTAGAGAGGAGAAGGAGAAAGAGACTGTGTGGAGAAGGGTGTGATGGAGATAGTGAAAACAGAGGACATGAATTAAATCAAATATGAAAGAAACTGAAAAAGATTTGAGAACAAGAAAGTGAGTGAAATTTAAATTAGAGGAAATGGAAGATAGAGAGATATACGTTTAGAGGCAGAAAAATATGCACTACACTTACGGGACTAATGACCGTAGATGTTGACGAACCCAGAAACGCGAAATAATCATTCATAAACAAGTAGTAATAAAATAAAAGAAGAAAGTTTGATTAGAGACATATGTTAAAAGTAATTAAATAAGTATTATTTCATTGAACGACGATTGATAAACAGACTCATGTTTTTGCTCACGTCAACTGCTACGATTATTAATCCCTTTGGTGTAGATAATGTTTTTATGCCGGGAGGTGGCGGTGTTCCTCCCCCGTTGGACTGTGAAACTCAGCGCCGACACACACGTCTTCCTTACGCACGTTTCCCCTTCGGTTATTTCCCCTGACGGGGCACCGAACCCGGCGGGGCAAGCTCTTAAGCTCCTCATTGCTCACCGTTGTATGACCGTTTAGTGCGCACTTGTGGGTGTGAATGTGTGTGTGAGAGGGAGAGAGAGAGGGAGAGAGAGGGAGAGGGAGAGAGAGGAAGGGAGAGCGGGAGAGGGAGAGAGACAGAAAGGGGTGATGTTAGGACAAGAAAGAGGAAGGAGAGATCGCGCGCTCTGGGACTAATTTATTAGGGTACTCCAGCCTAGGCATTGATCGGAGAAACTATGGAAATCCACCAACCAGAATCGCCGGCCTCTATAATTCTCTTCCATACAGAAGCTGAATCCGATCTAGTTATGTAGGAACTGCCACAAATATCAAGAATCTTCCACCGCCGGGACTTGAACCCAAGGACCTCCGGATCACAGACGCCGCCGAGAACCCAGCAAAGATGGCTCAGCGCAAAAGTTGCGGCAGCCAAGTGCGTGGGCTTCCGCAGCCGAAGTCATTAGTCGCGTGGCTGGCCGGGAGTCGCCGCGCCCATCACAGGTGCCAACGTTTCCGCTGCCATTCTGCATCCTTCCTCAGGGTGAAATGCTGGCACCTGTGCCTAGGACGCGGGGTCTCTCGGACAGCCAAGTAGCTTCACAAGAGCATGAAGTGTGTATGGAAAAGAGTCGACTCAGGTATTGAAGTCATAGTGCGAGTATGCGCAACGTGTCGCCATTGTGCGGGTATACGCCACCATGCCAAGAAAGGACGTCGGATCAAGCACTGAAAATAAAAGAACCGTTGGAGTATACTTCGATTTATTTGTAGGGGCACATGAATCAAGTCAGCTGATATGGTGTCTTCAAACCTGGAGCTTGAACGTCACTACATTGGCATCACTATGTGACTTTCAAGCTCCCAATTGGATGACACCGAAAAAGCTGATTGAAGGTCATTGGCCATTATAAATAAATCGACGTATAGGTTCCGTTGTCAAGTGCTTGTCAGTTAGGACAGCAAACACTTGGCTGTCCGAAAGACGCCGCTTCTTAGGCACAGGTGCAAAAGTTACGGCCGCCATTTGGCGACCTCCCTCAAGCATTTCCCCCTGAGGAAGAATTTTGCCATGAGAAAGGGAGCACAATGGCGGCCGAAACGTTGTCTCCTGTGCCTAGGACTCGGCGTCTCCCGGCCAGCCAAGCAGCTACTGACTCCGACAGAAGCCTACGCTCTCTTCAAGCGTTTGATCCGAGGTCGTTGCTTGGCAGGGCGGCGTGCATTGCGTACCCCATGCCTCCAACATCGGTGTTGAGTCTCCTTGATACAGATTTCGTGCTCTTGTGGAGCTACTTGGCTGTCCGGGAAGGTCGCAGAATGGCGGCCGAAACGTCGGCACTTGTGCCTAGGACGCGGCGTCCCCCGGCAGATACTGACTCTGACCACAGAAGCCTACGCTCTCTTCACGCGTTTGATCCGATGCCGTTGCTTGGCATGGCGGCGTGCGTTGCGCATCCACACACCATGCCTCCAACAGCGGAGTTGAGTCTGCTTGATTCAGACTTCATGCTCATGTGGAGCTACTTGGCTGTCCGGGAGACTCTGCGTCCTAGACACAAGTGCCAGCATTTCGCCCTGAGGAAGGTCGCAGAATGGCGGCCAAAACGTCGGCATTTGTGCCTAGGACGCGGCGTCTTTCGGCCAGCCAAGCAGCTACTGACTCCGACCACAGAAGCCTACGCTCTCTTCAAGTGTTTGATCCGAGGTCGTTGCTTGGCAGGGCGGCGCGCGTTGCGCATTAACACACCATGCCTCCAACAGCGGAGTTGAGTCTGCTTGATTCAGACTTCATGCTCTTGTGGAGCTAATTGGCTGTCCGGGAGACTCTGCGTTCTAGGCACAAGTGCCAGCATTTCGCCCTGAGGAAGGTCGCAGAATGGCGGCCAAAACGTCGGCACTTGTGCCTAGGGCGCGGCGTCTTTCGGCCAGCCAAGCAGCTACTGACTCCGACCACAGAAGCCTACGCTCTCTTCAAGCGTTTGATCCGAGGTCGTTGCTTGGCATGGCGGCGTGCGTTACGCATCCACACACCATGCCTTTAACACATTGAGTCTCCTTGATTCAGACTTCGTGCTCTTGTGGAACTATATTGGCTGTCCGGGAGACTCTGCGTTCTAGGCGCAAGTGCCAGCATTTCGCCCTGAGGAAGGTCACAGAATGGCGGCCGAAACGTCGACACTTGTCCCTAGGACGCGACGACTCCCGGCCAGCCAAGCAGCTACTGACTCCGACCACAGAAGCCTACGCTCTCTTCGCGCGTTTGATCCGAGGTCGTTGCTTGGCAGGGCGGCGTGCGTTGCGCATCCACACACCATGCCTCCAACACCCGAGTTGAGTCTCCTAGATACAGGTTTCATGATCTTGTGGAGCTATTTGGCTTTCCGGGAGACTGTGCGTTCTAGGCACAAGTGCCAGCATTTCGCCCTGAGGAAGGTCGCAAAATGGAGGCCGAAACGCCGGCACCTGTGTTTAGGACTCGGCGTCTCCCGGCCAGCCAAGCAGCTACTGACTCCGACCACAGAAGCCCCTTCTCTTCAAGCGTTTTATCCGAGGTCGTTGCTTGGCAGGGCGGCGTGCGTTGCGCATCCACACACCATGCCTCCAACACATTGAATCTCCTTGATTCAGACTTCATGCTCTTGTGGAGCTACTTGGCTGTCCGGGAAGGTCGCAGAGTGGCGGCCTCCAACACCTGAGTGTAATCTCCTTGATTCAGACTTCA